GTGTGTGCGCTGGGTGTGGGTTTTTCTCATCTCCTCCCTCGCCCCCATGTCCTGGGCTCACACAAGTTCTTCCTACAGGGACTTCTCCCAATGTTGCCCGTAATGCCATTGTCAACTGTGCTGAGCTGGTGACCTATGACCTCATCAAGGATACTCTCCTGAAAGCCAACCTCATGACAGGTGTGTTAGGGTCAGTAAGAGCTGGTGGGGCGGTGGGGGATTGTCTAGTTGCCTAAAGACCTAAAGCCATTTTACTCCGTGTGCCTTTTTACCATTCAAACACAGCTGGATGAAGAGCTTGCTTTGCACATCATAAACAGGATAGACTGGCCAAAAGTCTCCCTGAGAGATTCTAGCTGCAGTCCCTGTGTCTTTGAAGCCATTAGACTCCTCCCCTTAAAACTCTTTCCTGCTGCTTGCTTTATGACAGATGACCTCCCTTGCCACTTCACTTCCGCCTTCGGGGCCGGCTTCTGCACCACGGTCATCGCCTCCCCCGTTGATGTGGTCAAGACGAGATATATGAACTCTGCCTTGGGCCAGTACCAGAGCGCAGGCCACTGTGCCCTTACCATGCTCCGGAAGGAGGGTCCCCGAGCCTTCTACAAGGGGTGAGCCTCTGATCCTTCCCCCACCCCCAGATCCAGGCCTTACAGAAGGGAGAGAAGTAAGGTGCGGCCAAATGTCAAACAAGCATTCCATAGTTGCTGTCACCTCTGTCTTTTGGAGGTTAAAAGGGGGATTCGGGCTGGGGGGAGGGTGGCTCAGTGGTAGAGGGCTTGCCTAGCATGCTCCAGGCACTGGGTTTCACTCCCCAGCACTGCAGAAGTAGTGAGCTGGACTCGGGACTCTTGGGTACAGAGCCAAGGGCTTTCCAGCAGATCTTCCCAGCCTCCTTTGAGACAGAATCCAAGGGTTGGATGGATGGATGGATGGATGGATGGATGAGCCCAGTGGTAGAAGCAGGAGGTGGAGGTGCCCCCCTGACTTGTGTTTGCTCTCTTTAGGTTCATGCCTTCCTTCCTCCGCTTGGGGTCCTGGAACGTAGTGATGTTTGTCACCTATGAGCAGCTCAAAAGGGCCCTGATGGCTGCCTACAAATCCCGGGAGGCACCATTTTGAGCCTTTCCAGCTGCTAGCCTGGACCCAGCTTACCCTCCCTGCCCTGTCTTTTCCTTTATCCCCTGCTTAGCCCACCTCGTTTCCCACTCCATTTTCCTCACCCCCACTTTCCCTCCTCATCTCCCTTTGCCTCAGTGCTGATGGCCCCACAGTGAGGAGGCCTGACACCAGACCCTGAACCCTCAGTCCTTTTCACAGTCAAGCCCAAATCTTTGTCCTCTTCCCCAGCCCAGCTCAGCCAGCCTTCACCCATAAAGCAAGCTCGATCTTGGTGTCTTCTATTTCTCATAGCTGTTTATAGAGGTCTTGATCCAGTGGGCCTTTTCAGCACCTTGGCAGGCAGAGGAAGAACCCAGTGACGTTAGGGATGTGACCCACATTCCAGCCTTAGCATCTGGAGAGGGGCTAATGGGATTATCCAGTTCATTCCTCTGGACCCAGTCTAGGCTGGAGAGACAGCAGAGCTTTTGTCCATCCTGCCCTTCGTTGTGGGCCCTGTAAGCTGTCACTTAGCCCCTTGGTGCTCTAGAGCTACCTTCCCCGTGCCCACTAGCCAGGCTTGTCCATCTGCAGAGTGAAGGTACCCCTGTCCCCCCACATCAGCTTGTTGGGAGGTGCAGAGAACTCCAGAACTTTTCATTCTTTGGGGCTTGCTTTACTACGTTTCATACATAGCAACCCACCTCCCCAAGTCATAGACCTGTGAAGGGCATGCCAGGTTGTCTCCAACTATAATCACATCCTGAGGCATGCCTCGAACCAGGCTTCAAACCTGGCTGCTGGTGAGCATGCACCCCGGAGGGAGTTCTGTTGTTCAAGACAGGGCCTCACACTGTAGCCCAGACTGGGCTGGAACTCATGACAACTCTGCCTCAGCTCTCCAAGTGCTGGGCTCGCAGACAATTTAACTCTTAACCTCTGAGGACCCTCTGGTGCAGGTCTTACCCTCTCCCAAGGCCGGCGACCAGACAGGGCTTAGGTTGTCCTCTTCCCAGCCAGCTGTCCACAGGCAGGAGAGGGAGGTGGGACTTACAGGGGCTGTGATGGCCCAGAACAGGGCTGGGCCTGTCATATCTCTAAGGCCCATTTTCTACCTGTTTCAGATGTCTTATGCCTGTCTCTGCAGAGAGCCAAGACAAGGGCATAACAATGCTCAGAATCCCTGGGGAATTGTGTCTGGCAGCTGTGAGGCCAGGCCCAAACAGGGTGTCTTTCCAGCCTAAAGTGGCTGGGGCTTCTGTCTCTTCTCCTCCTAAGCAGGCTGGGTCAGAGAAGGTTAAACTGTCCCAATGCTTGGCAACAGGCTAGACTGTTAGACTGTCTTCCAGAGAAGAGCACTCAGTTCTCCTCAGCTGCTGATAAATCCAGCCAGGGTCTCTGTCCTGAGGTGGTGAGCCACAGTGAGGGTTGGCTGGCATTTTGTTTCATCACACAAGGGCACAAATGAAGTTCTGACCATTGTGTTAAGGTCCTTTAAAGGACCTTAACTGTCCCGGCATGTCTAGCAACAGCTAACAGGTCAAGTGAGGTCGTGTCTGCTAGTTCCTTCCCCAGACATGTATGCAGGCATGTGGTATAGATGTGAGGTCACTGGGCTTTATGACCTGGAATGCCATCAAGTGCCTTGAGAAAGGGGCTGCAGTCACTGAAAAGCATGTGAAGGCCTCAGCAATATTTAGGGTGTATGTGTGGTAAACCCCGCTTTGCCTCCCAAGGTAGCCCAGTTACCGAGAGGACAGGGATCTTATAAAGGTCTGTGCTTAAGGCCAGAGGCCAGGCTTCCCACAGGGCCCTCCAGGGGGGTCAGCAGCAGCAGGCCTGAGAGGAGGCCAGAAGTCCTTCCTATAATGCTGGAGGCTTGCCCTCAGAACAGGCGGTTACAATGCCTTCACGTCAGGTCTGCCACGGAAGGCAGTGAGCCTCTGGATCCACAGGTCTGTGGTCAAGGGGTTGGAAGCTACTGTTAAAATGGAGCCAGGCATTTCATCTCTCCTTTCATCCCAACTTTCAGGAGGCAGATCTCTGACTTCAGGGTCAGTCTGGTCTACAAAGTGAATGCCAGGATGCGGAGGGCTTTTACACAGAGAAACCATGTCTCAAAAACAAAACAAAACAAAACAAAACAAAAAACCACCTAAAAAAGGAAGGAAATGGATCCAAAGGGGTTGGAGAGATGGCACAGTAGTCAAGAACACGACTCCAGACCCAGCACCCACACTACAGCTCACAACCATCTAGAACTCCTGTTCCAGGGATATCCGATGCCCTCTTCTGGCCTCTGCCGGTACTGCATGTCTATGGTACACCAGCACGTGCAGGCAGAACATATTCTTTAAAACAAACAAACAAAAAAAACTTTATTTCAAAAAAGGACCTAGAGAAGTGAAGTGACTTGGCCACATATCTGGCCCAAGGCCCACATTTGAGCCCCACCCCAGAATCTTTGTCTTATTTGTTTGTTTTGTTTTTTGAGACAGAGTTTCTCTGTGTACCCCTAGCTGTTCTGGTACTTGCTCTGTAGACCAGGATGGCCTCAAACTCACAGAGATCCACTTGCCTCTGCCTCCTGAGTACTGGGATTGCCATCACTCTGAGCCCTCAAGATCTGTTACTGTCTTGATGGTGGTTCAAAGATGGCAGCAGGCAATAAGATAACCAGCGGTCTGGGACCAGCAGGGGCAAGACTGGATGTGCTCAGAAACAAAATACTTGCCAAGAGCAAGTATGTGGAATGCTGAGGCAGGAGGATCAGGAGTTCAAAGCCAGCCTCAGCTACCTGCTTCAAAATTTAAAAGGAAAAAAGGTGTGGTAGTGCATGCTTCAAATCCCAATACTCAGAAGGCAGAAACAGGTGGATCTCAAAGTTTGAGGCCAGCCTAATATACAAAGAGTTCCAGGACAGCCAGGGCTACAGAGAAACCCTATCTTGAAAAAAAAAATTTTTTTTGAAAGGACAAAAGGAAAAGTCCTTAAGCTAATACGCCACTTAGGATGGCAAGATTCTAAGCAGTGTGGGTAATCTGGGTTTCTCTCACATCTTAGAAGCCACTGAACCTGCTTGTTACAATAAGCCTAGACCTAATCAGAGCCTAAACTAAACCCCAGACAGGGCAAACTCCTCAGCATGGAAGAAGAACACATGGGTGTGGGCCACACAGCCTGGCTGCACCCAGAAGCCAGACCTCCTCCAGGTCATGGGGCAAGGATACTGTCGCCCTCTATAATATGATGAGTCTACCAAGACTTCACGCCAGTGACCCCAGTCCTCGTGCCTGTAGTCAGGCTGTAAGCTCTGCTCACAAGGTCAGTTAGTAACCCACACAGGAGTCAGGAGCAGACCCAACCAGAGCCCAAGTGCCATGCCTCCCAGACCACTGGCCCAGAGGCAGCCTAAGACCCATTTCACAGACAAGGAACTGTAGCCAGAGCTCTTCTGGCACTCTGTCCGTGCTGTAACTCTAACTGAAGCTTGTGTATGCACTGGCCTAAGGCCCTGGTGGTGGCTGAGCCATGGACACGGCAGGGCTGGGACAAGCACTCTCTCCTCCTCTGCTTTGCTTTTCCTGTCTGTGTTTCTCGGGACAGCACAGTTCATAAAAGGCTCCTTCTAAGGATGTATCTTGTGAAATGTCAAGAGCAGAGGACTCTAGAGGTCACATGGCCCTGTCTCTGTATTACCAAGATGGAAGCCTTTGGGTCCTGCAGGAAGCATTGGTCCAGCACAGTTCAGATCATGGCTAGAGGCTAGGAAAGGAAGGTTTATTGTGTCAGCCTAAGGTTCTGTTCCTCCCCATCTTCAGCTGTGGGGGTTGAGCGGGGAGATGGGCAAGGCCCAGGTAGCCCTTCTTCATCGCTCTTCCTGCCCAGGTCCCTTAGAATTAGGTCAGCAATGCCTGGCGGAGCATCTGCTTCTTCTGGGGTGTGAGGCGGGTGGGGAACTGGATATCAAAGAAGATGAAGAGGTCCCCCTTCCTGGCGGGGTCCTCGGGCAGTGGCATCCCCTCGCCTGGCACCATCTTGAAGTACTTAGGGCTGAGACGGGGAAAAATGAGAGAAAGCCGAAATTCAGAGAGCAGCGCCCAATGTGTGCACGCTACCCTAGCTCACACAACTGCAGGGATGGGCCGCATTACAGCTTCCCAGTAGATGGCCAGGTGTCACGAGCCAGAACGTGTGGGAAGAGAGGGGAGGAGAGACTGGCTTGTTCTAAATATCACACTCCTGGAAGCTCTTGTTCAAAGAAAATACCCTGCAGGCTGACTCCCACCCTAGGAAACAGAGCAGAGCCTGGGGGTGGGAGTCAAACCTTCCCTTCTCGGTGACTTTCTTTGGAACAAGACTCAGAAGGCTACTTACTATTCCGTGTTCTGATAAAAAGCTCGGGGGGGGGGGAATAGAGGCAAGAGATTGACCAACACTGGGGTTCTCGGGCCTCTATGGGGGCATCGTAAGATATCATTTCTGTAGGGTGAACACAGCCCACGGCTCAGGCAGATAGGCGGGTGGACTTGAGTCCCGGCCTCTGAGAGGGAAACCTTTCTGTGGCTGCAGCCGGCACAGCCCCCACCAAGTCTCAGTTTGTCCTTTCTATGAGCACTTGGGCACGAGGCAGATAGACTCACTGGACGATGTCGTTGATGGGAATGTTGAGCAGACGGTCGTCAAGGGTCTTCACCTCCACAGTGCAGCAGGTGAGGGCCTGCGGAGGGCAGGAGGAGAGGTGAGTATGCAGAGCACCTCCGTAGTCATCTGTTTAGAAGGCCTTCGGGAGCCTGGTTGGGTTCCAGCCCTGAGCTGGCTACCAGGGAAGCAAAAGGGTGTTGTGGAATCTAACCGTGGGTGAGCCCCGATGTTGCCTGACTTCTAGTTTGAAGCGTGGTGGTCAATGTCCCAACCAGGCAGGCTCACCCTGAGTCCCAAAGTGCAAAGAATGAGTGGACAGGGCTGCCTTGAAGAGGACCAGGTGGCTATGTTGAGACGGTAAGGACAGCAGCAGGATCAGGACTGTGTGGAAAGACGAGGAGTGGACGGGGAGGGGCTGTGCAGAACCTCCCAATGCTGGGAGAGAGCGGCAGGAGGCGCAGGGCCCTGTGACTGGTAGACGGCGGTTGGCGGAGAAGAGACGAAGCCTAAACTGCTGCAAGTGGGGCTTAGTCTGGGCCCCCTGCCCTTCTGCACTGTACCCACTCACCTTGCCCAAAGGAATGGGGTACACGAAGAAGAGGTTGTCAACTTCCCTGCGGAAGCGAGGGTGCAGCTTCTCCTTTACGATGAAGATAATATCAGCCGGGATAATGTTGGGGCCCTGGCAGGAAAAGCCAAGGACACGGGGTTATTACTTATAAGAGTTGACCAAGTTTCTGCCTCTGTTTGTCTCTGAATCTTCATCTGTGCAATGGAGAATTAGAGCCAGTTTTCTAGAAAGGGCATTCAGTGTGGCCTAGGACCACTCCCGGCTCCCAAAGTGCTTCTCGGCTGAGCATGCCCAAAATAATCTACTCAGTGGCATGGGGCAGGGACCTCCTTGAGTGACAGCTGGACACTAAACTGGGGTCAGACAACTTCTCTGCCTGCGACTCGGCAGTGATCTCTCGGTTTCAGTGACCGCCCTGAACAACCTCTCTTCTGGCCACTGTAGACAGAGTGAGAGCAGCAGCAGCTCCCAGTGCAAGAAAAAGTCAGATGGTCAGAACCAGCCACATAGTCAGAAATAGTAAGCTCAAGGCCAAGGTAAAGGGAGCCCCTGGGCCATGTGGGGAGGTTGGGAAAAGGCTGTCCAGAGTGGGGGATATTGGTGCTGGGTACCTGTTGGCCTGCCTGCCTTGACTGCTTACGACAGGGTCTCACTCTATAGCTTAGACTAGCCTGGAATTCACTATGTCACCCAGGCTGAACTTGAACTCCTAGGCTCAAGTGAGCCCCTGCCTCAGCCTCCAGAGTCACAGCTACTGCCAGTGAGCCAGTCCGAAGGGCGATTGTTGGAAGCAGATGTTTTCTAGGTGAAAAGGGGCGGGTCTGAGCTAGGAACTCATGCCTCTTGGCTCTGAGCTCTCTGTTGCTCTGTTTCTTTTCAGTATATAAGGACTACAATGACTTAATGTTTTCCACGGGTGAGTATTTTAGTTTAAAAATCATTATTAACGAAATGCATCCGGATGGCCTCCTCCTTCGCAGTTCTTCAGTCTTGCACTGAAGAAAACTGGTAAGAAAGAGCACTGGTGGGGAGGCTGGCTGCTCCTGCCGTATCTGTGTGTGTGTGTGTGTGTGTGTGTGTGTGTGTGTGTGTGTGCGCGCGTGCGCACGCACACGCATGGGCATAAGCTCATGTATGTTTTGGGAGGCTAGAAGATGACATTGGGTGTCTTCCTTAATTGCTCTCCATCTTATTTTTTGAGACAGGGTCTCTCCTGACCTAGAGCACCTGCTTCAGCTAGACTGTGTGGCCAGTAACTGAAGGATCCTCTGCCTTTCCAGCACTGGCGTCACAGGGTGCCCGGCTCTGCCACTGGTGCTGGGGAGCAAGTCCAGGTCTCCATCTTTGAGTGCAACTGGGCCATCTCCCCAAGCCGCCCTTTTAGCTTTCTGTATTCTTATCATGAGCAAGTTTCTTCTGTCTTGGGGTCTGTTTTTCCACTGAGGAAAATGGTAGTAATCCTCAAGCTGCATTCACAGAAGCATTGTGAGGCTCTGTTCCTGAGAAGGGATTCTAGGGACCATCTCACTCTAATAGACCAGAGCTTGTAGAGACAGGGAAACAAAACAAAACAAAACACAGACTTTTCCACTCCCAGTCCTCCCACCACATGAGCCTGGTGACTGGCCCGAACCGGCTTCTCTCGCTCTCACCTGGTCCCCTTCCTTCTCAAAGGTGATGCGTGTGCCCTGCCTCCACCCAGGCCTCACGTCAATGGTCAGGATTTTGTCCTTGATGGTGGAGGAATACTTGTCTTCATTTAGCACCTACAGCAACAGGGGGAGGGGTGGGAGTTGGCTCAGTGGAAGGGCTCTGCAGAGTCTGTGCTCAGATGGTTCCCACAGCATGGGGGGCCAGAGTCACTCCTACTTCCATCCCGCTGCCATTGAATCTGAGAGCTTGTGACGACTCTCCAAGGCAAGGCAGGCCCTCAGATTGATGAAGCTGTGACCTGAGACACCAGTCACCACAAGCCCTGGCCACCAACAAGAACACAGTGGAAGGTACCTCTCTCCAAACCCCAGAAGTCTGGCCCTACCCTTCCTCAGGCTCCACAGCCACTCACTGTCCAATACAAGACCACTAGAGAGCCCAGGCTTCAGTTTCTAGAAAGTTACTGGTTGATAAGAAGAGAACGGGAAGGGGGGCTGGTCATAAGCATACAGCAGACCTCTCAGCAGACGATATATTGAGTCTCATGCAAAGCATCCCCCCCATTGTGTCTGCAACCCTGTGAGGCCACAATGCCACCTTAGATAGCATGCCTACAATGGGCATCTCCCCCAGGCAAAGGGGAGGAAGAGGGTTTGACCCACAGGCCACGTGAGGTCAACACCTACTCACAAGGACTTTCTAGGCTGTCACCTTAGAGACCGTCCAGCCCACCTCCATGCCCACCCTGTGGCCAAGGCACACACTCCTCAGGGTGTGGTCTGCTAATAACATGGCTGCTTTGATCACATCCAAAAAAACCTCAGTCTATGTGATCTGGCTGCAATGTAGATATACCTTTAGCACACACCTTTAATCCCCAAAATGAAGGTAAAGTTAGTTTGTAGAAGGAAATACCATGTTTGAAAGTCATGTCTAATTGAGAGGCTGTAAACTGACAAATTGGAGAAAGGTTGACAGAATAGGATATACCCAATTCTCATGAAAATAAAGAAGAAAGAAAAATGACTTAAGTGAGAGCAGCACAGAGAGAGAAAGGAGGCAGTTTTACCAGGAGAGTTTTACAGAGACAGGTTGAAGAGAGAACAAGTTAGACACAGGTGAAGACAGAATGAGTCAGAAAATGAAAAGGAGCCAGAAGGTTAGAACAGGTTGCTAGAGTTATTTTGAGGCCAAGCAGAGCAGTTCAGGCAGAAGTGAGAGAAGCCAGTTTGAGTCAGTCAGCTTGGACAGAGTTTGAGCCAGAACAACTGAGTTGAACCAGCTGGCCAGAGTTCAGAAAAAAATAGAAAGGGTGATTTTATTCAGTAGTAAGTCTCAGAAGTTAAAAACATTCTAGGCCTAGAAGCTTCCAGGATGAGGCCTAGTTTAGCAGATGGAGGCAGTAAGCCTCTGAGACGATAGTTATCTCAGGAGAATAAAAGTTACTTTTATGTGCCCTGGAGTGGAACTCACAGAGGACCCCTTCCATTCCCACTCTTCCACTTTTCACAAGGATGGGCTGGACTGGGAAGGGAAGGATCCTGTCTCCATTAGGTAGCTGCAGAAGAGACTTCTGTACCAGAAAGTAGGGTGATCTCTTCTATTATTCATTTTAAATTTCAGATAGAGTCTAGAATTCTAAAATCTAAACTTGCTGTGTCTCTTGACCTAAGATCCCATGATTCCATCAGAACAGGTTGCCGAGTTTTCCTGTTGGGGGAGTGTAGAGGTGTCAGGGAGGTTTTTAGGGGTAGATGGTGCCTGTCAAGAGGAACAAGCTAAGTACTCACCCTTCGGGAGATCTTAATTTTTTTGGTGCAGCCAAAGAATAAGTCCTCCAGGGACAAATAGAGGTCACGTTCAATTGGAGGGTCTTGTTTCTGGACTCCTCGGCCCCGAAGGCCCCCAAAATTCAAATCTACCTCATTTCCTTCTGCATCAAAAAATTCTAAGGGAGAGAAAAGGATCAGTGAGAGAAATAGTATCCAAAGACACAGATCAGACAGACAGAAACACACACACGTACACATCACACACCTGTATTCCCTGGAACCTCTTCAGTGCCCCAAGAATAAGATTCATCATATCATTCCCACCTCTCAGACTCACAGACCAAGGAGCTTTTTGTTTTGTTTTGGGCCTTGAACTCAGGGCAATCCTCCTGCCCCAGCCTCCTAGATGCTGGGATTACAGGTGTGAGCTGCCTTACTTGGCTTCAAGAAGCCATTCTTAGTTGCAGACCAGTGAGCATCAGCCCTTTCCAGGACCCAGGGCTTCGCTGGGGCTCCCAACAGAGTGCGGTGCCGGCAGTTCCTGCTTCCTGGACACATTGAGGCGTCACTCTAAGTGGTAGATTCTGGTAGTGCAGAGAAGACTTCGTCCAGGCAGAGTGGGTCAGAACAGCCAGTCTCCTCTACCCTTTTCCAGGCCATACTGACCCCTCTCTGTCAACTCCCATGACTATTCTAGACAAGCCTGCCTCAAGCTCTCCGGAGTTACAAGCTGTTACAGTCTGTGGCAACTGTGAGGGGTCACCAGTGTGCCCCAAGCTCCTTTCCTCAACCACACTGTCTGCTCTCCATCCTGGAGCCTGCCTGATGCCCTTGCCGCTAACCTGATGGCAGAGAAGCCTTCCGGGTCAGCTTGGAGTGCTGTAACCTTTTGGAAGGCAGGTCTTTAGTCTCTGCGGTCCTGTGTCCCCTGCCCTGTACTGTTAAGATGAGGGACAGCTAAGCCTTGGGAAAGCCTGCTCCAAGTCAGGCTCTGTACCCAGTGACCATTGTCTTTACTTTACTGGACAACAAAATGCCCACACTCCACAGCTGTTGAGTAATAAAGTTGGGGCCTGTAGTACAGGACCTTTTGGCCATCTGTGTCCTTGGTTATTCTGCTATATTTCTGGATGTCGGGCCCTTTGTAGTAGGCTGTGGAGGCAGAGGTGGCTGCCATGCACTCTGTCTCTTCTGGTCAATGCCATGGTATGAATGTGCCAAGCTATATGGTGAAAAGATCAACAGTTGGGAGTTTGCACTGGCTTAAGACCTGAGAGCTGGGAGCTGGCGCCATCGCTCAGCACCACAGAAGATTTTTAAAGACAGAAGATTTCTGGAAGGATGCAGAGGGTGTTAATGGTGAGTGGCTGCATCTAGGAGGGTTAGACTATTTTTCAGTAATTCCCATTTTAATTTTCATGTGGTGGTTTACATGTACGATCCCAGCACTTGGGAGGCTGGAGAGTATGAGGGCAGCCTGGGCTACAGAGCAAGAGCCTGCCTTGGATAAATAAATAAATAACAATCCTTTTCCTTCTGTGTACTGTGTTTAGCTCGAGGTGGTCACCCACACCTGCAATCCTGACCCTTGGGAGGCTGAGGCAGGAGAGCTGCCATGAGTTCAAAGCCAGCTAGACTACAAGACGAATTTGAAGCTGTCTGTACTACAGAGTGAGACCAAGCTGGGGAGGCTTCAGAGATGGCGCAGGGGTTAAGAGCACTGGCTGCTCTTGCAGAGACTCATATTCAGTTCTCAGCACTGAGACGGTGATTTGCAGCTAACCCTGATTCCGCTTCCTGGGAACCTGAGGCCTCCTTCTGACCCCCTCGGTCACTGAGCACACATGTGCACATATACACAGGCACAACTGTCACACACATAAACAAATCTAAATTAAAAAAAAAAAAAGAAAAGAAAGAAAGAAAAAACTGGGTGCGGTGACACATGCCTGTAATTCCAGCCCTTGGGAAAACAGGGAAATCAGGAATTTAAGGTCATCCTTGGCTAAACACTGAGTCCAAGGCTGGTCTGGGATACATGAATGAATAATAATAATGAGGAGGAGGATGAAGATGATGATGATGATGATGCAACCAAAACAAATGAAAGCAATCAAACCTGCCCGCCAAGAAAGGCAGCTTCTACAGCTAGGTTCTTTCCCAGGAAGGCAAGGGGCTGGGTGAGAGTCTTACCACTGAAGGGGTTGTCTCCCCCAAAAAATTCGTGGAACACTTTTTCAGGGTTGCCGTGGAAGACGTAGCCTGTTGTCCATGGCGTCTGGGATCCAAACTCCAGGGGAATCCCACCCTTCAGGCCTTCCTCACCAAACTTGTCATAGATACCTCGCTTCACAGCTGTGGATACAAGTGACCCTGAGGAGGGTTCCAGGGCTGGAGAGGCTGGGAGGTGGTAAGAGGGAGGGGCAAGAATAGCCTTATCTCCTGCAGCCTGCTGCCCGGAAGTCTCTAAAGCTGGAGGGTTAATGTCACTCTGTATGGTTTTCAGGGTCACTCGTCTGTCTATAGATCTATGGGGTCATTCAGAAAAGCAATGAGAACCCCCCCCCCGCATTGGGCTTTCGAGAGGATTGAGGGACTGAGAGTCAGACACATACCTGAGTTTGGTTTAGGAGGTGAGAGCAGAAATCTAAAATCTCAAAATCATGGAATCTAAGCATTTTGAACCTGCAAATTTTAGAGTTCTGAAAAGTCAGGACTGGAGAAGCCATAGTCTAGCAGTTCTCGGGAATGGTAGCCACAATCCCAGCCACCAGGACCAGCCCCTAGACAAGCCAGCAGGGCTGCTACTCTTTGGTAGATGGGGTGTCACCCTCGCCCAACAGAACTGATTTCCAAAGGGAGAGATTTCCTGGTGGCTCTAAGCCTCTCTGTGGCCCTCTGCTTCTGCTGTTCCTAGAGATAGTCTGGGAAAAATAAACGAAACTGCCTGCTCCACTTCAGCCCTCTGCCCATGGCAGCCAGCATCCTCCACTGAGCCACAAGAAGGTTTCTTTCTGCCGGGCTGGAGGCAGGGGAATATGCCCCACTTCCGTACTGCCTTGGCTGGGTGAGCCCATCCACCTGACTTGTGGCGGCCTGGCTTGCTGTTTGTCTAGATGCTGAGCAGGGAGGACGGTCGCTTCTGCTCTACTGTTCTCTGCAGAAAACCTGACCATCTGGGCACTGGAGGAATGATCTTAGTGGAGGGGTGAGTGACAGCCCCACCATCACTCACGGTCACTCAGCACATCGTAGGCTTCTGCTATTTGCTTGAATATCTCTGGTGCAGAAGGCTCACTTGACTTCATCGGATGGTTCTTCAGGGCAAGTTTCCGGTACCTGGAGGAGGGAGGAATGCAAGCTCTTGCCTCTGACCTGCTTCTGAGGCTGGAACATGGCTCAGGGTTGGCTCTGCTTTCTGGCTTCATTATGAACCAGGGAGACCGGCACAAGTGTGAGTGGCTGTGGGCTGTGCTCCTTGGATCTTTTGGAAAAGAACCTGAGGTAGAGAGCAAAGCTGGCCCACAGCCCAGACAGATGTCCTAAGGCTGCTTGTCCCCTTAGCTGCCACAGCTGAGACCTAAGGCCAACACAGATTCAGTGATGGCCCACCCTCGAAACACAGAACACCCCAAGTTAGCCTGTCACTGTGACGAAATACCTGAGAAGAACAATGCAAAAGGAGGAAACACTTATCGTGGCTAACGGTTTTCATATGTAGTTGGCTAGTACCATTGCTTTCAGGACGAGCATCATGACAGCAGCAAAGCTGCTTCCCCACATGGCAGCTGGAAGGACAGACAGAAAGAGACATGGGGCGAGGAAAGGGAGAAAAGGAGGAGAGGAGAGAGAAGGAAATAGGAACAGCAGTGAGGAGGGAGAGAAAATGGAGAAAATAGGAGGGGAAGGGAAGGGAAGGGAAGAAAAGAGGAACACAGAAAGGGAGCGTCTGGAGACAAGACATCAAAGGCCGAGCTTGGAGACCTGCTTCCTCTAATTGGTCCCTACCTTGTAATAGCCCATCCCAATAGGAAGGGCTTAGTTAATGATTTGTGGAAGAACTTTAATTCAGAACATGGCTGCTCTGGTAAGAGATCACATCTAAAGACCTTCTAGGTCTGTGTGATCCAGATGGAACACAAACATGGCTTTAATCCAGGAGACAGAGGCAAGCAGATCTTAGTTCAAGGCCAGCCTGGTATAAAGCAAGTATCAGGTAAAGAAAAGCTTAGGCATGGTGGTACATGCCTTTAATCCCAAACAATGAAGGTAAAGTTAGTTTGTAGAAGGAAGCACACCTGTATGGAAGTGATGCCTAACTGAGTGACAGAAAAGGTGATGAGTCAGAGAAGGATTTGACAGAATAGGACACGCCCAACTCTCACAAGGAGAGAGGGGAAAGGAACGCTACTTAAGGAGCAATACAGAGAGAGGGAGAGAAGGCAGTTTTACAGGGACAGTAATAGAGAAATGGGTTGCAGAGAGAGGACACAGGTGAAGACCGAATGAGCCAGGGAATGGGGAGCCAGGAGATTAGAAAATATTTCTGGAGTTATTTTGAGGCCAAGCAAAGCAATTCAGAGGATGAGAGAAAAGCCAGATTGAGCGAGTCAGCTGGGAGAGGAGTTTGAGCCAGAACAGCTGGGTTGAACCAGCCAGCCAGAGTTCATGGTGTCTACATTACAGAGGCCCAGGACTGACACAGGTTTCTCATTTGTTTGACGAGCCCTTGGGAACATCGGGCCCTGGCACTCTCTTCCACCTCTGTGCTCATTCCTGCCCTTATGACCTGCCATCCCACCACTCAGTCCTGGGATGCCTACAGCTTCTGAGGATATACACTGTCAAGAGAGAAGAGATTGGGTGGATGATCTGTGGAGTTTTAATAAAGGGTCCAAGGTGCAGGAAGGAGACCACCACAAAGACAGTCCTGTCCCAGAGCTAGACATGCTGGGGCCCATGCAGACCCCCCCTCCCCCGTACCTCTTGAAACTTGAAGGGTGTGCTCACGGCTGGCAGGAGGAATTTGAGGAACCTGGAGACTGCCCATAGGAAGGGAGCTGTGATGTAAGGACCAACCACTCCCCACCCCGTCCCACCCCTATCTCCTCCTCTATCCCCTTGCTTCCCTCTCCTTTAGGAGGAGGTGTAGGGGAGGCAAGGAAGCCTGCTGCTGCAGGGCGTGGCAGGGAGGGTCACGGGAAACCTCCAGCCCAGAAGTCACTCAGTCCCAGTTTGACCCCACCCAGCCCCTGCTGGGTCAGGTCAGGCTTCTGGAGTTCCGTAGCCTCTCTTTTCAGTGGACAGGCTGAGCTCGTATCTCACAGAGCCGATGCCCATCTTCTACCAGCCACTTCCCTGAGCCACAGACCTCTGTGCCCAACCCCTGCATTTCACTGTCTTCTCCCAGATCTTGTAGGCACCCCAGAGCCAGCCCAAACAGGGCCTGCATTCCTCCCCCAGGTGCCACAGCTGGAAAGCTAAGCATAATCTTTGACTCCCATCAATCACCAGAGCTCAGCATTTTCTGCTCTTAAACATTCTGCCCTGCCTTTCCTTCCTGTAACTGTGGCAGAACCATGTCTCCCCATAGCCACAAGAACCCTCTCCAATTCTCTCTTATTTCGTGCTATGAATGGGTTTCTCCCTTTATCCCTTCCTCCTACTCCCTCCTTTTTCTTCTCCCCTCCTCCCTCTCCCCTCTCCTTTCCTTTTCTCTCTCTTAAAATACTGACTTCACTCCCCTCCTGAAACTCTTCACTCATTTCCCTGCTGCCTTCAGCAGACAACCTAGGTGCCTTGAGCTAAGATCCAAGCACCTGCTTTCTCTCTGCAATAGCATCTCTTTGCTCATCAGCGGTCTTGAATGGGAGAGAGAGGATGAAGCCATGGCTCAGAGCTGAGTGATACCCAGTATGGTGTTACATGCCTGGGAGGCAGAGGCAGGCAGATAACTGTGAGTTTGAGGCCAGTCTAGTGTTCATAGCCAGGGCTACACAGACCCTTTCTCAAAAGCAAACAAACAAATCAACGGTGCATGAGTGTTTGATACTGGTACGTGCACATGTCATAATAAAACCTGGTATTTGCCACAATGGATATATATATGCTAATAAAAGAGTGAATGAGTGATGCTAAGAAGCTGATAACTCAATGATCAGTGATCTGCATGGAGATTTTCTTCTTTATACAGGCTCAGCAGTGTGTGTGTGTGTGTGTGTGTGTGTGTGTGTGTGTGTGTGTGTGTGTAGGCCAGAGGTCAACTTGAGATGCTTTCCACCTTGTTTTTGAGACAGTCTCTCACTGTCCTGGAATCACAAGTTGTACTACAACATCTGGTCCTTCGGTGCCAGGATCTATGAGGGAGCGTTAGCGTGTGCAACGCTCAAGCCTTGAAAGTCGTTACCGTGGAAGAGGCACTCGCTGTCATTAGAAACGTGCAACTCTTTTCCTCACTCTTACCTCACATGGTTTCATGTGCCAGTGACTCCTGGCATTTTCATACACATTATTTCATCTGGTCCTATTTTAACCACTTCAAGAGACGTGTGTCTTACGTCTGCTGTGTCTCTGTGGGTGCGTACATGGCACATACATGTGGAGGCCAGATGACCACCTCTCCTCGTCCTCTGTCTGCCTTGCTTATTAACGCAGTCTCTCACTTTCCAGAACTCTCCAGGGAGGCTGGGCTGACTGTGCAAGCAGCCCTGGGAAGTCACCACCTTTCTCCACCTCCCAGAGCCAGGTTACAAGCAAAACACCGCCTTTTTCACGTGGTTCTGGGATCCAGCTCGGGTCCTGCTGATTGTACAGCCAACGCTTTGCCAGCTGGGCCATCTCTCTCTCTCTCTCTCTCTCTCCTACACCACACTTTCTTTTTTGAAGGAGAAGCCCAGGAGTGGTCCCACGCACCAAGGGCTGGGCCTTCCCATATCAATCACTAGTTAAGAAAGTGCACCTGAGCAAAGGCCAGTGCGGTGGAGACATTTCAACCGAGAGTCTCTCTTCCCGAATGACTCTAGCTTATGTCAAGCTGACGTAAAACTCTCTGGCACACTTTCGGGAACTAGGCTATGCTAATCTCTCTATTTGCCATGGTAACCATTCCTTTGGCGAGTCCCACTGGACACCTGCGTTCTCTCGTGGTAACTTTTCATTTGGTAAATTCCACTGGCCCGTGAAAGCCCTGAGCAGTGGGAGACATCACACCCAGTACTGAGTTGTTCTTGCTTGTTTAATGAGTTTATCTTATTTCTCCACCCACATTGACCCTCATTTAATCCTCCTCTTCAGTCCACACAGGAGCTGGCCCAGGGAGGGAGGGACAGTGTCTGGTTTCTGGTTCCGTTTGTCACGTACAAATGGAATTGCCTGGGATGCCAAAGGCAAATGCCTCTGGGGCCACTGTGAGGAGTAAATAAAACAAGGAAGGCTCTCAGAGCAGCACCTGCATGTTCAAGACAAGCAGCGAGTGTGCCCCAAGTTTCGAGTTGCCTCAGATGCCTTTTTTCTTTAAACCTTTGATGACATAAGTATCTGCTCTCCATCCCACCACAGAGCCTTAATCCTCCTTCAAACCTTGTCCTTCGGCTTAATTATCAGGACAGCCTCCCAAGAAGCCACGTGCCTCTCAGCACAAGCTTTGGCAGCACTGGGGCCTTCTTTTATAACAGTCTGTAACCAATGGCCTGCACTGTGCACAGCCCGAAACCCTAGTGCCCCAGAAATATTTGTCCAAAACTTTTTTTCAAAGAAAAAATGTAAAAGATCAAAAATTTCAGAAACATGGCTTGACCTCTGTCCTAGGTCTCTCCCCCAATAAACACACACACACACACACACACACACACACACACACACACACACACACCCTTTTCTTTTCCAAACAGGGCCTTGCTATGTCGCTCAGGCTCACCACGGACTCAATATCTATACTTTCACAAAGTCCCTGAAACTTGACAGAGGTACTGAGACGATCGGTCAGTGACAAAAACCCGTATGATGGCCAGAAGGGAAACTGTAACATCCACCTGTCCAGGTCATTTCTAGTTCACAGGCCTGTGGTTCTCCATGAGACTCGGGATAAGGTCCAAATGGTACTTTGTTCTCATTTCATAGCTAGGAATTTGGACATGACCCAAGAGGAGGCAAGGGGCAGGAGTACTGGCCATGGGGCATCTCCTGACGCACTAACGGTGTGTCTCAGTTTCCAGTGTGTGGTGACCTGAGCAGCCCAAGCCAGGGCCGAGTGCGCAAGAGGAAGGAGGTGGGTGCCTCTTTCCTGCCCTAACCTGTGCAGGGAAGCAGTTTGGCTGGCATCAGGGTAGGGCTGCCTCAGCAGGTGCCAGGCTCAGCCCCCGCCCACTTACGCCTTCTTGATCTGGGCATCCTCTGAGTTGCGAGTGACCTGGAGCACGGCGTAGTAATCCAGCCCCATGGCTGTTAGCAGTCACACTATCTCCTCTGACTCCAGCATCTGTTAGTCTGCCGTCTGTGGTTGCTCCTGACGACCACGAAGAGCACTCTGGGAATTGTAGTCTTTCTATCTTGACCACATGACCCTGTTCTGTGACCCCGGTAAGCTCACACAGCTCAGAAACTGGAGTCCCCGAGCACTTTCTTGTTTATTTTTTAGTGCAGCAACTACCTTTAATTTAGGATCTTCAGAGCAAAGCCGAATGTAGTGCTGTAGCACCTTAAATCTCAGCACTTGGCAGTTGGATCTCCGTGGGCTGGAGGCTAGCCTGATCCACATAGTGAATTTGTCGTGGGTCTGGGGTCGTCCAGAGATTCACTGACTCTGTTTTAGTTTTAATAAGTTACAGCAGTATATATATATATGACCGGCCAGGACCAAACCAGAGAGAATTCTCTAGGTAAAGCCCCCGCTACTGTTAGCCAAAGGATGGTAAAGGCAAACACTACAAAGTTACAAATTAACTCCTATCCTGGCTGGGTGTGAGCAAAGCTTTATTTTATAACATGTCCAGGAGGTGTCTGAGCCATCCAAGCAGGTGTTTCACGAAGTAGAACTTAGCGGTAGGTTGGTTAATCTTGCGACCTTGTAAGAATAGCTGAGGCAGTGAAATATTTTGCAACAATCAGCGTTTTCTTTTTCTTTCTTTCTTTCTTTCTTTCTTTCTTTCTTTCTTTCTTTCTTTCTTTTCTTTTCTTTTTCTTTCTTTCTTTCTTTTTAAGAATAGCTCAACTGCACCAGGAAGTGGTCCATCTCAGGCCAGCAGACAGGGTACATTCAAGGTAGGAGCAACTTTTTCATGGCTTATACAAGTTAAAAACAGCTGTTTTCAGAAGCCTAGCACAGTAAATTTAACTCCTAAAGGTAACATTCACCATCACAAGTTCTGTGACAATATAGTTAGGTAGTGAGACCTTGTCTTTTTGTTTGTTTGTTTTTTAAAGTTTATTTATTTATTGAGATAAGTTTTGTCTTTTCAAACAAGCTGAGCATCCTATGATCCTCAAGCACTCTGGAGGCTGAGGGAAGAGGACTCCCTGAGTTTGAGGCCAGCCTTGGGGCCAGCTTATGGGGCCAGCTTTGGCTATAAAATAAGTTCTTTTTTCTAAAAAACAATTTTAATTTAACTAATTTTTTCAATTTTGTTTTTTTGTTTTGTTTTCTTTTATTTTTCAAGACAGGTTGTGTGTGTGTGTGTGTGTGTGTGTGTAGTCCTGGCTGTCCTGGAACTTGATGTAGACCAGGCTGACCTCAGACTCACAGAGATCACCTGCCTCTGCCTCCTCCCACGTGCTGGAACCAAAGGTGTGTGCCACCACTGCCCAAACCCAGCCAATTAAAAAAAAAAAAAAAGTTTTATTTATTTATTTATTTATTTATTTATTTATTTATTTATTTATTTATTTATTATGTATGCAGTGTTCTGTCTGCATGTACACCTGCACACCAGAAGAGGGCACCAGATTTCATTATAGGTGGCTGTGAGCCACCATGTGGTGGCTGGGAATTGAACTCAGGACCTCTGGAAAAGCAGCCAGTGCTCTTAACCTCTGAGTCATCTCTCCAGCCCCTCCCCCAAATAATTTTTTTTTTAAATTATAGGACAGTTTTATATTTTCAGGAAAATAAGAAAGATTAGACTTTATTTCTGAAAAGGTCTCTCTCACTGAATCTGAAGCTCCCGGTTTGGCAAGTCTGGCTGGACACCCAGTTCCACAGGTCTCTCTGTTTCCACTTGTCCACTGCCTCAGCTCTGAGGTTACAAATGCCACCATGCCCACTTTTATGCACATGCTGGGGACCGGTTCACATGTTTGTACAGCAGGCACTTTACCCAGGAGGCCGTATCCCCGGCCTATTTATTTATTATTGACATGGGATTGCACTGTGTAGCTCTGGCTGCCAAGGAACTTGCTTGTAGACCGGTTGACCTTGAACTCACACGGATCCGCCTGCCTCTGCCTCCTGAGCTGCTGGAATAACAAGTGTGCACCACCTTGCCCGACTCTTTCCCTGTGCCAGATGACCTTTAACAGGTCAGGTGGACAAACTTGCTAGTTTACTCGTGATTAGACTTGACCTTTGAGGAGAACACTGATAGAGTGGAGTGCCGTGTTCTTCAGTGCCGTGAGCATTGATCACCAGGCTGAGGCAGTCTGCCAGGTTTCCCCACTCTAAGGTTCTCCCACCCCACAGGCACGGGCGCTCATGAGCGCGCGCATACACACACACACACACACACACACACACACACACACACACACCACACACACAGAGTTGGTGTTTTGAGACAGGATGCTGCTCTACAGCCCTGTCTGGCCTGTAATTCACTGTGTAGGCCAAGCTAGAGTCAAGCTTGTGGTAATCCTCCTGCCTAGGCTGGCTTTGCAGGACACTGTAGCCCATGGCGGTCTAACACTCATGCCAGTCCTGCTGTCCTGCCTGTTGAGTGGACTACAGATGTGCCCACCATACCTTGTCTGGTTTTCTGTTTCCATCCTTCATCTATCTTCTATCTTCTATCTATCTATTTATCATCTATCCACTATCTATCATCTATCTACCTACCTACCTATCATCCTCATCTCTTATCTATTTTATCTATATCTATCTATCGTGTATGAGTGTGTTCCTGAGTGTACATCTGTGCACCACGCTTGTTCAGGAGCCCACAGCGTCCGTCAGAAGAGGGCAGAGGATCCCCTGGAACTGGAGAGAAAGGCAGTCGTGACTCGCCAGGTAAGGTGCCGGGAACAAACCTGGGTTTTCTATAGGAGCAGTAAGTGCTCTTAGCTGCTGAGCCATCCCTCTGCCTCATAGTAAAGGACTCTGCCAGCGGAGATACTGAGGCGTGGTTAGCAGCCCTGGGCTAGTCTCCTGTGCTCTTGGTGCAGATAAGTATTTTGAGCTTTGGGATACTCAGCAGCCTATGGGTCGAAGGACATGAAAATCACTTCTGTGTTATTCTCGCCCAAAAGTGTAACCTAAATCTAATCACGAGAAAATACCAGACAAACCCAAACTAAGAGCATATCTCAGACTGGATTATATTCCGAATACATCAGGCTCATGAAAGACAAGGGAAGGCTGGGAAGCTGCCTCAAGCAGAAAACAAGGAAATGTAGCAAGTGCTCCTGGTCTAGATCCTTGCCCACAGAGGAAAGGGTGGCTAAAATTCTGTTGCTAGGACAACAGAGTGTGGCTTGCAGACTGGGTAACAGTACAGAACCGGTGACAGTTTCCTTGTTCTCATAGTTACACAGTGATGAGGCAGGAGAATGGCCTTCATTTCAGCAGGAGCATCTTGAAGTATTTTAGAGTGACAGGATTGGAGTGTTTATGTATTCTGCCAAAACGGGCCAGAAAAAAAAAATACCTGGAGATAAACTGTGTATATAGAATGATAAATGAAACAATAAAAAGTTAACAACTGGGCGATCTGGACAGGAGCGTACGGAAATCGTGTGCACTGCTGTGGGTGTGTGAGCCTGTGTGCAACGTGGGTTCCTGTGTGTGGGCATGTGCAGGCCAGAGGTCAGTGTTCTAGGTCTCCCTCCTCCTGTTTCCCATCTTACTTTTTGAGGCAGGCTCTCTCACTGCACCTGGAGCTCACAGATTGGCTAGACTGTGTGGCCAGCAAGACCCAAGATCCTCCAGTCTCTACCTTCCGGCAAGGAGCTTCCAGCGACACACTGCCATGCTCAGCTTTTCACATGGTGCTGGGGATCGGAACTTAGTACCTCGTGCGTGTGGAGCAAGCATTTTACCCATTGAACCACTGAACCATCTCCCCAGTTCTGCTGTGTGTGTGTGTGTGTGTGTGTGTGTGTGTGTGTGTGTGTGTGTGCAGCATGATACAGGGACTGGTCCTCTCTGTCACGCAGGCTCTACGGATCAACCCATGTCATCACGCTTGGCAGCTAGTTCCCTTACTCACTGAGCCATCTTGACGAAACCACATCCCATATTTTTCTGGACTCACTGGCACTTGCTACGAACGAGCCCGGGTTGTCTCTAAACTTGCTTCCACTCCCTGCCCGTGTCCCGATACTGGGATTCCAGGTGCACACAACATTTCAATTGTTCTGTGTGACTGAAATAATTCACAAGAACAGACGACAAAACGCGCACACAAAGACGTGTTTGTTCTGCAGAGAAGCTTTTATCTGTGGCTCGGACTTTGGCATGCATGAGACACAGAGGCAGTTCTCACCGGAAGTCACAAGGGGGCACCGGAGAGCCGAGAAAGAGTGAGCGGCTTCGGTTTCACAGTGGACAAAAAACAAAAAAATTAAAAAACGAAAAGCAAACAAACAAACCAAAACAACAAACAGAGAATCATCGAACTGTCACAACCGGGAGATCAGCTCTGGAGACCTGTAGGAAGCAGAGAGGTGTGGAGCTGGAGAGCCGGCTCAGTGGTAAAAAGCGCTTGCGGTTCTCGCGGGGGACTTGAGTTCAAGTCCTACCAGCCAGCTCCCATCCGCCTGTAACACCAGCTCCACGGGAATCCCATGCCTCTGGCCTTCATGGGCACCTGCATTCACTCAGGTACCATACACATATTTTAAAAATACAAATTAATTATTTTTTAAAGTGTGTGGCATGTGTGTGTGTGTGTGTGTGTGTGTGTGTGTTGTGATGGCCACGTGGGAGACTGACGCTAGGAAAGGAACTCAGACAGTCACTTGCCATATAGATTAAGCTAATGTCACTCTCATCTTGTTTTGTTTTTTCTAATTGATATTTATTTATTTGTTTGTTTTGTTTTCAAGACAGGGTTTCTCTGTATATCTCTGACTGTCCTGGAACTCACTCTGTAACCCAGGCTGGCCTCAAACTCGTAGAGATCCACCTGTCTCTGCCTCCCAAGTGCTGGGATTAAAGGTGTGCTCCACCACTGTCCTTCTAATTGATATTTAAATTGATACTTTAAAAGTTGGCAGCGAAATCTCAGATTTACA